TGTTTCTGATTCAACCACAGCGTAGGCTAAAGGATATATCCCATTATTACCATCCAATGCCTTTGATAAGAAACATACATTACCAGAAAACATTGGTTAGTTAACACTACTTCAATAAAGAACATATAATACAAAAAGAAATAAGAAGATCTTACCACAGCAGACAAGACTTGGCCTGGATATGGACCTTTCACGAAGGCTCCATCAAGTCCAAGAAAGTCCCTTCTTCCCGCTGCAAAACCTCACTTCAAAGCTCCAATGCAAACATAGATACGTCTGAATGTTCTTGTCTCAACAGTTGGATTCACTTCACTTTCAACATCAATTTTAACCGTAGTATCTGGGTTACGTGCCTGTACCTCTAAAACATAATCCATCAACAACATGTATTGGCTGGCATAATCTCCTTGAACATGCTTTAAAGCTTCCTGCTTTGCCCTAAAAGTTTTCATATGCGAAATGTCCATCTGGTACTCACGTTGGAGTTGCTCTCGTAAAGCCCTAATAGGAATCTTTGGGTTTGTCTCAATAATTTGTACTATATGCTCTGAAAGGAACTTATAGTCACATGCTTTGACTTTCCTTGTTTTTAGACATCGATGCTCTCTCGTGTATGTCTTAACCATCCAATCTATGTCACACTTCCACTTACTATAATAGATAACCCATGGGCATTTCTCTTCTTCATTAGTAGCAAGATTTGGTATAGTGACCTTACACACAAACCTAACCCTATTCTTATCATTTTTCTCTAATTGTATTTCCCTTCTTGTCCTTATGGAATGTAGTTTCACTTGTGTCTTAAAGGCCTTAGATGAACTGAAAGTTTGAAAAATGTAGAAGGGCTCACTAACCAAAGCTGCATCATTTTCATAAGCCCTCTGTATGGCCCTAATAGTTTTCCTTCGCTTACCATCATTTTCCTCATCCGATGAAGACCCAGACAACAAAACCTCTGTGTTGATCACTTCCAAGTCACCTTGCTGTTGGGGGACATAGAATAAGTATGTAAATTTGTTTTCCCATGCTCAATATATACGTCTATTAGCTTATGGTTAGCAACATACGTACCCAGATGGTGAACATCCTGATCAGAACCCAAAGCAAATAACCCAAAATCCAAATCGCCAAATGGTCTCAGGAAATGATAGTAGAGCAGTGTCTGGTCTGAATCAATATACTCAAGTTCCTCCATCATCTCGTCAATGTCGTGAATGGAAAAGGTGTCGATGTCTAGTAAATCAACATAATTTTGCTTGCCTTTGATGTACTTTCTTCCAGGGAACTGTGTAAACTGTCCACCATGGTGTAATCGGACAGAGAATATCGTCGGATGTCCGGCTGTAGATTTAGGGGAAGATACATTAGTCACATATTTCTGTTTAAGTTACTAACTGATCGAGGGAGTAAACACTTACCATATCTACGAGCAACGTCAATCTCGTCCATGGTAGCACGTATCCTCCAAGGCGCCATCGTCGTCTTCAAATGTAGGGTTCTTTCGATCAAGGGTTTTCAAGGGTTTTCAAAGGTTTTGTCTGTGAAGGCTTGTGTCTGATCACGTTGATAATCGATACATCTTTTATTTCTTGGCGGTAGAACGTTGGAAATGTTAAATGACTATTATACCCCCAACGTGCAAGGCACGTGGGGTGTCTAACGGAAACAATTGACGAATTGTTAGAATAGGGACTAGGCGCGTTACATAATTAAAACTTGAGGACAGTTCGAGTTAGAAAAATAAGTTAGGGACCAAGCGTGCAATTTATACTAAACCACAGGGACCATTTGTGTAATTTACTCTATACTTATAATAAGGAAAAGTGATTAATACAGAAAAGTCTTATTATTTTGGGATTTTTTTTAATAAACTCCTAAAAGTTTTTTTTTTGAACAGAAAAGTCCCGATTATTTAACATTTTGCCCAAGTTAACGAAAGAACATTTTTTATATTTGAATAGCAAACGACATATTATGTGGTTTTCTCAAAATATGAGAATTTTCTGTGCAAAATTTTTTTTTATGACTTTTTTGAAACTTTTTCAAAAAATTTAGAACTTTTCTGCAGATTTCCCTATGGAAAAGTAATATATAAGTATATGATTTAACTTTTAAGCATGCGTATATAAATAAGGAAGAACTTAAGGGTGGAAATAACCAGGTTGGTTCGTTCAAGTTGATGGATGGTGAATCAAATCCAACTATTGGTCAAAGGTTGATGCGTATCAGAATATATATATGCGCAAGAGAGCTAAAATGTATACAAGAATAATGTTATTATTCAAACAGTTAGGTTGAAGATAATCATAAAAAATGGTGATTGTATAAGAAAATTGTAAGTCCATCAACCTTATTGTTAGACCTACCAATCTGAGACACGAGTACACGAATCTGTGAGAGACACGACACAACACGGATACACGACACGAATACATCTTAAAATTTGAGATAAAGCTTATCTCTCATCGTGTAATCGTATTGTGTCAAATTCGTGGCTGACACGTTTTCATGACACGAATACACGAATTGCCAGGTCTACTTATTGTCAGTACATACTCTTCAAAAGTAAAATGAGTCTTTTTTTTTTGAACCGGCAAATACAAATATATAAATCTACTCCTAATCCAACACCTAATACCACCTATGTCCACGACGGGACTTGAACCATCGACCTCAAAGAGGGAGGACACCACCTGGTACCGCTGGGCTAGAAGCCCTTTGGTAGTAAAATGAGTCATTGTGAGTATTCCTTACAAGTCCATACGAAAATTATTATTAATATCCATCCAGGGACGAATAAGCGATCCATTACATAAAAGTAGGTGTTGCCGAATTATTTTTTTTCCGGTCAAACATAATATAAAACCAAAAACTAATTCATTACGTCTAATACAAATAAGCGATCCATTACATAAAAGTTAAAAACATAACAACAATTTATCATCTATTACAATTTAAATTTGTCCTCTTCGTGCGGACATCTTTTGAAACCGTTCCATTACCTTTTCATTCTCAACTTTCACAAGTGCTTCTGTCTCAACATAGCAAAGCAACGCATCGTTCAAAAACTCATCGCCAATCTTGTTGCGCAAGTCGGTCTTTAAGAGCTTCATCTTCGAAAAACATCTTTCTACACTAGCGGTTGCTACGGGTAATATCAAATCCAACTTTAAAAACTTATAAACCAAAGGATAAGACCGATGTTTCCCCGTACTAACCATCAAACGAGAAAGCTCAGAAATTCCTTTCAAAGTGGTAAAACGCTCATTTTTGATGGAAGAGTGGTAAAATATCTCAAGTTGTCCTTCAAGATCTATCAAATCCGAATCATCAAAGTCATACTTGTACAACTTAGCCAACTTCAACAACTTTGATTTGTCAAATTGTGAAAATGAATCACAAGGGCTCAAAGCACCCATGTATTCTAGTAACTGGGTGCTTGTTTCACTAAATCGATCCCGATATTCTGTCAGTTGCATATCCACCACCGTGTTGAAGATTTCAACCTCAAAGTGAAATCTATTGGTCTTTGTGGTCGTACGGTTTCTCGCACCAATATAAAAATCCTGCATTTCCAGAGTAGCAATATTGTGTGTTTGACAAAAAGATGATACCTTTGGCAAAATGCTAGCAAACCTCGTGTCTCTTAAAGATTGCAATGTGTCCATTGTCCCTCTAACTATCGAAGCCGCTTCTAAAATGTCTAGATCTTTTTTTTGAAGTTGCTTTGATAATGTACCCATGAGGTGTAAAATGTCATACATCATATATAAGTAAAACACGAACTCATAAGATTTAAAATATGCTAAGATTTCTGACGCTTGTTGGCGGTTTGCCAATGACCCTCCATCCACTTTCACAAATTCTAAAACCACAAGAACATCCGCAAACAACTTCATAAGACTTGAGAGTGTGTTGAAATGTGAACCCCATCTTGTATCCCCGCCCGAACAAATTAATAGGCTTTTTGGACTACTAATTGATAAGTCTAAGTTATAAATATATTTTTGGGCTTGGTTGATCCAATTGGGTGGCAATTTTTTTTTACGTAGTTGCCAATTTTTTTTACGTAGTTGCCAATATATAAAAAAAAAAATTGAAAAATTTACACTATATATACGGAAACTAAGTGTTGCCGGTGCCACACCGGGCACCTAGTCAAAACCGTCCATGTATCCATCGGAAGTAATATAATGGAAAATACAAACTTTGTGATGGAAGCCACAATTGGTAACAAATAGAGGTACTTGTATGATAATCATGTATAATCCATGAAAGAGAGATTGGATTGGAATAAGGGTGCAGAAAGTTATGACAGCCAGTTAAAAGAATGTTGTAGTGTTGATGATTGAAAAAGGAGTTTCAAACCTTAACCGAGACTTGTTTTTAATCTATATGATTTTTTGTATAAACGTTATTGGTGATTTGAGGGACGAATCTTTTTAACGTGTGAGATAATGGTAACATCCAAATTTTAAAACTTGTGATTTAAATCTATGATGAAAGTACATAAGTTGATTTGAGATATTATTTTGCCTAAAAGTTATAAAATGGCATATTAGTGATTTATTGAGATGGCTATTAGAGGAATAGATGATCGGTTACCGACAAAGACAAAATGGAAATTACTTATAATGTATGAGAGTCCATCTGAATTACTATGAAGGTGGGAGGTGTTTAATTCCAACTGTTGTGTTTTTTATGAATTCATCAAAAGTGGTATGTTTTGCAATTTTAGATTTTAAAATATATTTTGATTTCGGTCAATGTGTTTTTTTAAAATGTATTCTGAATTTTATAAGTCATTGAAAGAATACTTCAAAAAAAAATGGAAACCTTACACACTTACAATCTTTATATGACATTCAACATGTCCTAAAGAAAAATATATCAATTACACAAACTTCTACACATTTACGTATATGTATAAAACAAAATCATATGAGCATGCACAGTGAAAATCTACAGGAAAGAAAGAACCGATAACCATGAGTCCATCATCAAGCTTCCACAACAGTGACAACGTCAAGACGATGGATCTTATCATCATCGGAAGGCAAGTTGATGTATTGGTGATCAAACCCCTCATCAATCTCCAGTGCCAATTCACCATGAAAAGCCTTGCAGTGCATATACAACACAGCGTTGACAACCGACCACATCATCGGCATCAAGGAACCAATTATCGTCAACCAGATCATGTTCAGAATACTCCACGCATCAACAGTTACAGGCACATTGTACGAAAACAGCATCACCAAAGACCCACAAAATATCAAAAAATACGACCCAAAAAATATTAAAAAATACGACGACAATGACACTAAAACCGATCTCGCCCCCTTTACTAAATACCAACTCCGCTTCAAAGCCGGAACCCCCCAGTTCGATTCAGCAACAACCACCATAAAAGCCAAACACCAATTCATTTGGAAATAGATTATCTTTACGATGATTATGGAAAAACTTATCAAGGTAATCGAGAAGAAACCGATTACAAACCCTAGGCTTTCACCCAACATAACAATTATTCCACCAAACAGGAGGAATGTTAGCAATATCAGAAACATGACAGTGTGAGCTAGAATGGCGGTTAAAACGAGCGAGAGGAAGGAGAAGGTTAAAGACTTGAGGGAGGCGAAGTAACTCACCGGCTTACCTATGAGAACATTGTATGTACTGTAAGAGATCGTGCCTATCCCACAGAAAGTGAGGAGATAAACGATTAGGATGTAAAGGAGATGTAAAACTACAGGGATAGGATCACTTAAGAGAAACTTGTGGAAGAGATCTCCGGTGAAGAAGTTGCGGGGGAGATGAGAGTGGAGAGTAGGGGTGACGACGATGGAGATTGAGAAAGGGAGGAAGAAGAGGGATAAGGCGTAGAAGTGGCCTTTGTTAGCTTTTACGATGTTCCGTGACTCAGAGACTATGGTGCTAAAGTTAACGGTGTGCAACGGTGTTGTTTCCATGGAGGCGGCAGATGACGATGGTGGGAATGGTGGTGGCGGCGGTGGCAAAGGGATATATTGATAAAAGTGATGTCTTTTGATGTTATATAAGAGGTGTAGGTGTAGTTAAGGTGTTTGTAACTATTAGTAATCTGCCACTTGGCATACTGACCAAGTCAAAGAACTTGCTCTCTCGGTCAAATGTTATGTGGGTCCGCTGTTGTTTGGGAAATTTAAATTTTGCTATTGAACTTTTCTACACCGTATAAGAAATCGTCTATGTTTGTATTTTTCTTCTCAAATTTAAATATATAAAATTCGACTTTTCTAAAATCGTTCCTTATTCATTCGCATAATCGCATTTATAATAAATCTTCTATATCTACGCATTTCCCCCAAAATTCAATATATAAAATTGGACTTTTTCTACATAGTTAATTAGCTTTTTGATGACTCCCATATTTCAATATATCCTTCCCTTCCCGTTTTTTCCTCCTAAAAAGTTATCAGCGAGTATTGCTGCTTTTGCACCATCTACCCATCTGTTCTTCCAATCGGAATTCGAAGGTTCTTCTTTACCGACCTCTTATGCTGTCTCGTTCTTCCTCCAAATAGCACAAAATAGATCTAGCTTTTGGGAAGTTTTCAAAGAAACGAGCAAGACTGACCACAAATTCTTTCGTTTGAAATGGTGATAAAAGTTTGAGACAATAAATTTGTGATTGGAAACCTTCCATGAATCTATATTTATGTGAACTGGGAAAATTTTCCGATAATGATGTTCTAAATTGACTAAATTTCCGATAAAATCCACCTGGTTCGGTTATAGCATTTGTGTATGCAGAAATCGTAAAAGAACATCACCTGAAAATATGAATTGCTCTCCAATCTTCGATTTTTTCTACTTCTTAATCAAAAATAAAAACCAGATCACAAATGGGTGATTACAAAATAGTTGTGTATCTCCTGAAATGCCAACAAATCTTTGAGTTTTTTGTGCTTCTTAATACAAAAGAAAACCAGCTCGCAAATGGGGTGAAGAAGACTGGTAGTGTTACATATGCATATCAAAGAACAACTGACCTGTGAAAGAGGATATGTGGGAGACGGGACAGGGGGGGGGGGGTGTAGCCGGCAACTTAATAACTGAAGAAATAGGAAGGTGGAGACAGAGACAAAGGTGAAGACCCATTGTGCAAAGAGATCTTTAACAGCAAGGATGAAGACGGTTGATCTTTAGCTCCGGCGGACAAGAAAAACGACGAGTAGCATAGGAAAGGAGAAAAAGATTGATAGATGTGGGTCCAACTGTTTAAGATTTTTTTTTAATATAAAAATATATATGACGTGGAATACATTTTTACAACCTTTTGTAAATATTTTTCAAACTACATCATTCTTGTAAATAATTGTTACTACTACACTCACTTGGTAAAAAACTCTAAGAAATCGTCTATGTTTGTATTTTTCTTCCCAAATTTAAATATATAAAATTCGAATTTTCTAAAATCGTTCCTTATTCATTCGCATAATCGCATTTATAATAAATCTTCTATATCTACGTATTTCAATATATAAAATTGGACTTTTTCTACGTTCACATTTATAATAAATTGTCTTTATTTTATGTATTTATTTTCCCTAAAATTCAATATTCATAATTGACCAAATTGGTGTCTTTGAAAGAAATATTTACCAAATAGGTGTAATTTCAATAATATTGAGACGCTGGAAGACGTGTTGAGAGTTTTTGTGATAGACTTTGGTAAAGCTTGGGATACCCATCTACCACTTATCGAATTCTCGTACAATAACAACTATCTCACTAGCATCAAAGTCACTCCATTCGAAGCCATCTATGGTTGCAAGTGCAGATCCCCTCTGTGTTGGGCTGAAGTGGATGACACGCAACTAGCAAAGAAACAAGTTCCTGACAGTACTCTCACCGGCCCCGAGATCATACGAGAAACAACAGAGAAGATAGTCCAAATTCGGGAACGACTAAAAGCATCTAGGGACCGACAAAAGAGTTATACAGATAAACGACGAAAGCCCTTGGAGTTTCAGGTTGGTGACCGTGTCCTGTTAAAGCTCTCACCCTAGAAAGGAATGATACGTTTCGGCAAACGTGGAAAACTAAATCCAAGATATATCGGGTCATTCGAGATTCTTACTAGAATTGGCCCGGTGGCTTACAAACTTAAACTACTGCAGGAACTCAGCAACATACACCCCACTTTTCACGTATTCAATCTAAAGAAGTGTCTGTCCGACGAGACTCTTGTAATCCCACTCGATGAAATCGAGATAAAAGAGAGTCTATACTTCGTAGAGGAGCCTGTGGAAATCATGGACAGGGAAATCAAGAGAACGAAACAAAATCGTATACCAATAGTGAAGGTCTTCTGGAACGCCAAGCGAGGACCTGAATTCACTTGGGAACGAGAAGATCAGATGAAACAAAAATACCCACATTTTTCCCTAGTGCATGAGTACTCACTTTAGAAATAATTTCGGGACGAAATTCCCTCTAACGAGGAGATAATGTAACAACCGGTCATCTCGGGTCAATAAAAGTCAAACAAGTCAAACCAAAGTCAAAGCAAGTCAACTATGTCAAACAAAAGTTAATTAGTTAAAAATTTCATCGAATAAATAATGAATTATACCCCACTTTAAGGGTTTTTGGTTCTTAGGAATTAAAAATCAAAATCTTATGCCATAACCAAAAACACCATTTGAGAATGACTAGACCGAAATCTCCTAAGCCTTGACCGAGATCCAAACCTTGACCGAGAACCACCCCACCAAGAACTCCTTTGGACCGAGAACCTCTAGACCGAAAACCCTAGGTTCTCGGTTGGACTTTCTGACCGAAATCAAGGTTCTCGGTTGGAAGATAAGCCGAAAACACTAATTTTAATCGGTGGCACACTATTCTAGGTGATAAAATACACATTCCAACGCATATGTCACATCATTTTTCATCCCTATTTATATGTTAAACCGAAAACAATCCTCACAATTCACATTCCAACTTCGAAATCCTTCTCATTTGCTCTCAAGGATCATAAGAACTTCTTCAAATCTTCATATCTTCAAGAACCATTCCCAGTACATCTTCAAACTCCCCAAGAATATCATCAAACTTACCTAGAAAATCTAGTTCTTCAATTGATTCCTAGGAAACCTTGTAAGTATTTCTTACATAATCTAGTGTTATAAAAACACTTAAATTGTTGTTTCACTAATTTACGCACAATATTATGTGTTAATACTATTAGGATACAGCTATATACACGTGTTCTAACCCGAGGATCATCACTGTCACTTCGTATTCAACCAAGAACGCACACTCGAGGTGAGTTCATACCCCTAAAGTTTTCACGATTTTTATATGTTTTAGGGGGGGGGGGGGATACAAGTAAAACACAAGAAAAATTTTGTTAATATACAAACCGTTACATTTATATTTTTACTAAATATAACTATACATATGGGTACAAATTTGATACAATAAAACTTTAACCCTTTTGTAACATGTTGGGCAAAAAGGGTATAATTAAATAAACATACATATATAATTATTTCATTTCACTTATTATCAGGGTAAATTGATAATAGCATACAAAGGATTCATTAATCCAACGAAACATTTTTATAAATTATAATATGTATAGTTTATGGAACATTCACACCATTTTACCATTTGGGGACAAAGAAATAATTGTTTTGAAAGTATAATTATTTCTTACTATTTAAATACTATAAAAGGATGATACATACATTTACAAGAAAAGGATTTTTCATTATACTACACGTAAACAATCAATATGGCTTTGTGAGTCACGTCTTCAAATACTTACCTAAGTACCAACAAAAGTACTGTATTATAACCAGAGTCTCCTGGAGGGAGAGCGTGACACTTATGTATAGATCTATACGGGATTGACAACCCCGCACCTAAACTGTTAGCTACAGTTAGACCGGCAGGTCTGGGGTGACAAATGTCGTAACATTCTGACACCTGAAGAACGTCGTAATAGGCCAACGGTCGCTAAGTATGGTTATAATAACTCACAAGGGGTATTAATAATACGTTTGGTTTACGAATACATACATGTCTTCAAATGGTTTTATTTATATAAAACTACATTATTATTTCCCCAGTACAATACAGTTTACATTTCTAGAAACATACTTTCAAAGGGTTTTACACAAATACGATTACATCACATTATCTTCCAGTACAATACAGTTTGCAATTCTGGAAACATTCATTCAAACGGTTTCATAAAGATGTAAAACAATATTATACTACTTCAAGGTACAACGATGCTTATACAATTTAGTCTTGGACCATTTAAGACCTACATTACATTTAAAATAAAATATTTGATTTTATGGAAGAACATACTATCATTTTCAAGGAACAAAGACATATATTTCTCATACAAAATGCTTATGAACTCACCAACTTAATTGTTGACACTCTTTTTTAAAACCACTTGTATTCTCAGGAAATCAGTAGACAGGTACCCACACAGGTTTTGGTGAAGACGGAGTTTAGTATTCTTACGTCTTATATTTTGTTGTATGCTTTTGGAGTCAAACAATGATTCAAATACCATGTAAAAACACTTATCAATTATCAATATAATGTTTGTATGCTTTGATCTCTATTATTCAATTGTTATGATACTATACATGACGCCATCTTCCCCCAGACGTTTCCGTCGTTTCATCGGTTCGGGGGTGTGACAAAATTATACTACTTTTTAACAGGAGTAATCTAAATGAAAGTTGTAGTATACTAAATTACGAATGTATGGGTATAAAGATTGTTAAAATCCGAGATCGTATGAAGAAGTTATGATGTTCAGAACACATGACCTAAGGAACCAAGTAGTCGAGATCACAATGGACATTAGCATCAAAAGCCTCAATCACCTCATTAATGACTGTACCATGTAAGATGTTATGAGAAAAACATTAAGAAATCATTCAGAAGTACTGAATGA